TTGAAATGGCGATGAGAGTTTATAACGCTTTTTGCCATAAAGGATACAAGCCCAATCAAAAGATTTATCAGACCATGATCCATTATCATTGTCGAGCAGGTAATTTTGATTTGGCATACACTTTTTGTAAAGAAAGCATGCAAAAGAATTGGTATCCCAGTGTGGATAGCATCTATAAGCTGCTTGAAGGCCTGAGGAAGGATGGAAAACTTGACAAACTTGAAAAGGCTAAATATATTTTTCTCTTGGCTCAGAAAAGGGTACCTCCTTTTTCTGGTGATCAAATCAGTATTATGAAATCCAAATTGTCGCGGAGTTAAATTAGAACATTGGAAGGTGAAGTGCATCGCATAAAAAGATATGGAGGTTAAGCAGCAGGTAACTTTCGGTATGATTAATTCATTTATATTGAATGAAAGTTGATGGGAGATGCTCCTTTGAGGATTACACTCAGCAGTGAAGCCATGCAATAATCTTCAATTAATTTGGGGTACTGCCTTAACAACGTGCATGGTGAAATGGAAGTTCTAAGAGGAGAGGAATCACCTAAGTTTTGGTAAGTTGTATTGAAATAATTTTTTTCTCTATTTTTCGTAGCTTCAATGATGTCTGTATATCTTTGTTTGCAAGTTTATGTCCCATCAATCAATGTTCTCTTTGCTTTGCATCTTCATGCCTATTTGTAATATTGACGCATCATTTAGTGCACTTACCGACATCAGTTGGTAATTTGAAAACTTCAGCAGACTAATGGTTAGTTTTGCTATTACTTGGCTGCACGCGCCTATGTACTTGTGATTATCAAACAGCTATTATTCCTTTGGTCAAATTGGGTACATGAAACTAAGCTATACGTTGAAAATACATGGAGTGGATTCTGAGAGTGAGGTCATCTTTACAATTTCATGCATGTGTACATATATGCACAAGACACTTCATGTACTTGCATACACCAAAAATCAGTTCACGCGAGGAATCCTACATGATAACTGACAAATTAATTGTTATTATCTTGAGAATTGGAACATGCAGTACTGCGAAGATCCTTGATGTGCTGAAAATAAGTAATATCTTTGTACAGATCAATTCCTTGGTATCTTCTGTGAAAAATGTACTGTTAGTGAATTATTCTTTTCTGTGACTGTATGGATCACTCATGCCGAATGAACAGAGGATTTTACTGGTTCAACTCATGGAACAGTTTCAAATTCTCATTTAGAATTACCTATTATATGGTGGCAAAGAATGGGCACGATTCAACAGAAACAGTTTACATGTTTTGTTTTCAATATGTGGAAATTGATTTTTTTTTTTTTAAGAAAATGTGAGTTAAACGTCTTTCTTTAAAACTCACATTAAATGCATTTTTAACTATTTTCGATATCAGTTTGGATTATTTGATATGCCTATAATGTAGTTCTCGAAATAAGTTTTGAGATGATATAAACAATTTGTAGAGTCGATTAACGTACGATCGTAAATAATTTTTTAAAATTAGCATGTTATCGAAATTCAAATTTATTGTGGGAATCAGATAAATCATTTTTAGTTCGGCTTATGGAGGGATAGATGATTAACAGATTATCAATGATTGTCCGAATTATGATGAAGTTTTAACTCTTTTAGGTATTATCATTGTTCTTCCATTCCCTCAAATGTAACATAGAATGAATAAACAGAAAATAAGTTAGCAAAGTTCAAGAATATTCAGAAGATTAAACAAAGTAATATCTCCATTTCTATTGCAACGATATGCTTTAACAACCTTTAGTGAGTTAATATATTTTTCCATTTTTTATGCAGGGAATAAATTCTGTACCTTTTTTGAAATTTTGGGTTCATTATTTGACTGACTGAGAGGTCAATGGCGTATATCTGTCTTATCATTGGTGGCTGAAGATAACGACCACAGATCGGTTCATGGTTTATAAAGCAGTTGATTACGGTGTAAGGAGAGAATTCCAGACTCGGAGTAGTATTTTAGGAATCCAAATCGGAAAAAGTCGGTAATTTTTTGAGTGCTAGAAATGTAATATTCTTTGTCTTTTTTTTGGTAATAGGCTCAATCATCAATAATTATTCTGATTGCAGGCCTGTCATAGTTAAGAATATATGCGGCTTTTTGGAAATTTTAAATTGTACATACAATAAAACGAAAATAATTGAGATTATATTAATGCAAAAGAAAAGAATGATGAATTGCCTGGATATTGTCGGATTTTGGATACCGTTTTATCTCTATGATGAGCGAAATAATATTCGAAGGTAAGCAGGTTTGTCAATCTATTCATTTAAGAGGTCGGAATCAGGACCCCGAAATGTCATGTCGAATTATGCTACTTATACAATGAATTTGACAATGAGTTTGACAATGTGTGAGTTGGCAGACATTATTCAATGACAATGATCTATACACATCACACATTGTCAAAATCATTGTGCAAATTCATTGTACAAGTAGTTTAATTCATGTCAGAATTCTTCAAAAAGGACTACTGGGGTTGGATGTTCAAATACCTAGAGCTTGGACGAAGAGAATGCGAGTGGACTCTTCTTAAATTCTCCTTGTCAATTTGTCAACGTTTCTTGTGTATGATTCACATTAAGGTACTCATTCAAATCTTTTTGCAGTTGGATCCTTGCAGTTGTATTTTTTTAGTAAAGAGGTCCTTGTAGACAACGATTTGTAGGGCTAGACAAAACTCTCAAAACGAACCGGACCTGAACCAAATTGAACCGAACCGAGCGGTTCTTCTTAGGTTAAATACTCGAACGAGTATTTGAATCGAGAACCAACGAGTTCGGTTCGATTCTCGATTTTAAATCCAGAATCGAGAAATCGAATTTCTATACTTTTTTATCTTAAATAAGTTAAATTATTTTATTTTTTAAAATAAATTGATAATTAATTAATTTAGTTTAAATCCAAAATATGATTTTACTATTTCTAATTTTCAGCCAAATTTAACTTAATCAAATTAACCTAAATTTTAACGAAATCTCTTATTCTACCGTAGTATTATTTCTACCATTCTAATATCGTGAACTAGCCATCTCCTTCCTGTAATTTTAGTAGTCAAATCTAAAAAAAACTCAAGAAAGAGATTTGCAAAAGATATCATGAGATTGGACTACGTTATTTTGTAAGGGTTAAGATTGAATATATCAGACATCAATGTAGCGTTGTAATAAAAAATTAATTAATTATTGTACGGAATCCAGTAACCGAATAGAACCGAACCTAATCGAATGGAATCGAACTCGAACGATTCCATAATTAAATTTAGACCCGACGGATCCATTTACTAAATACTCAAAAATTTCGAGTTTGGTTTGGTTCTCTTTAGAATCGAACCAAACTTGACCATGCCCACCCCTAACAATTTGTATAAATCAGGAGATCCAATATCAAATGTCAAAATCGAAATGGGTTCGTAAGATATTAGTTATTAACAATAACACGACAACAATTGAATTAATTCTCTACCTTAACAAACGGTGTGTTACTCCTAAGCTTATGTTAAGTGACTGACTAATTAGTGATCTAGACACAATTGCTTTTCATAGGGTAAATCAAGTATTAGGTCAATTATAGTAAATTTGATCAAGAATATGAAAATTTGTAATCAAAATGCAAATAGAATCAAATCATGCTAAACCTTTGTGCATGTTTGACGAGGTTTATAATTACTTATAAGTTGATCAAATTTTATCACACATGTACGATCTTGTCCACTTTTCCTCTCTTAGTGTCTACACATTTCACAAGTTATAATCTAAGTAAAGCTTTGCGACTCTTAACTAACCCACGATCTTATCTACTTTAGCCCTTGTTTGGGTTTCATTAAAATGAGATTTTGAGAAAAATGAATCTTAGAATATTAATTTTTTAGAAAATATGTGGTTAAAAAGTAAGGAAATTTTTTGAATTTACGTGTAATATTATTTTATTGAACAATGTGAGGTTGAAAATGAGTTTTGAAAAAATATATTTTTGGTTTAACGGATCCCAAACAGGGCTAAACTCTCTTAATGTTTACACATTTTGCAGGCTAAGTATCACAACTTATAATCTAATAAAATCTTTATAACTCTTAACTAACCATTTGATTTTGAAATGAGGTGACTTCACACTAATAAAACCCGTAACTTGAATTCACAAAAGCAATTATTGAATGCGAAACAATTATTACAATCCCTTCGGAAAAATGTTACCAGTTTAACACAAAGGCATGCTTATGCAAGGAATATGAATTTTAGGAAATTAACCTCATAACTTGAATTCTCAAAAGCAGTCGGGTAAAGCAGACCCTACACCCATTACAAAATCATCTCTATGAACTTTCCACAGGGCTTCAAGTAGTGCCTTCCCCTTGAGCCTCTGAGAAGTTAACACAGCAAAACCTCTCCGGCTTAAGAAAAGTGTTTTCGGTAATCCCTTGAAAGCACGCATTGCTGCAACCATTTTATCCATATTTCCGAAATAAGTGGCCACATTTGAATCACTGCTGATGGACACGTAGTAATCCAGTGCAGCTTTCGTGTTTCCATGCATGTTTGCAAAGTCCTCAACACTATGAAAGATTGACTTGGTAAAAATGTTTGCGTAGACTGAAGTTAACCCTTTGAGTTCAAACCGAAGGTGAAGTGAAAGGAAGGGCTTAGGTATAGCTTCTAGAAGCTCAGACACTTCCTTCTCCAACGTGCTGGTTAAGCGCAAAGCATTATAACATACGTGGCAGAATGCAGTTTTGGCATACAGTGGATACCTACATAATGAATTATTATAAGCGCTTTGGAATAGATGAACACATCTTGCAAAAATTGCAAATGCATATTAAAGAGCAAGAACTCAGTGAAAGCATGTGGCACGATATGTCCGAGCAGTTCAGCATGCCCCTTTTACCCAAAAATGATATATAAATAAATAATCTATTTTTCTACCATCATAGCCAGAATTATCATTTATGTCCAAGGTAATCTTCCACTAAAAAGCCGGTTTAAGGGAAATTATCCAGAATAGGTTGGCAATGAGCTTAATTTTTTCGAATTCATTATGAAAGTCCTCACGGTTTTAGATCATCAAGATTGTAACCACCAAACCCACCCTAACAACCACAACCCAACCCAAGACAACATAAAATAGAACAAGACAACAGAGAATAAATATAATTAATACATCGGCAAGAATAAGTGACCGGAGAAGAAAGCAAGGTTGACTAGAACTGTGTTACAAGTTAGTTAAGTATGATTAGACAATTATTACTAAAACAAAGGAATTCAAGAATACGCAGTGGTACCTATCCCTTCTTTGACTCATTGCTGGCATGAATGAAATATAACGATGCTCCAAAAGGGAAGTACACTTACAACATAGTCATATAAACCTTTACATTTGCTACAATCAACATGAAAAGGTTCTTTTGATGCAATCTCTGCAGGCAACTCTTTTACTACTTTGATAAAGCTGCTCATTTGTTGGATGAAAAAGTCTACATCAAATACATCTCCAAATGCACTGCATGGTGAAATAATAAGTTAGGCTACTGTTGCTTGCTTCGAATGAATGCAAATCGCAAAATTAATTGAAGATGTAAATTTCCTTGGGTCCGCAGACTGTTGAATGTTTCTCACCCACATAATACTATCCAAGTAACCCTACCCTACCCTAAGTCATATAAATTGAGAGAACATACCAAAGACGAGAATTATTTGAGAGTGGAAAAATCTTGGAGCATTTGAGAGACATTTTTTTTTTTGATAGGTAGGAGCATTTGAGAGACATTTACATACATGGATAATTAAACTTAAGTAAGTGGAATTCTCTGAGATATTATTCATGTTCCTAGTCTCTAACACGAGAATGTAAGGCAGGAAATTTCTACCTTGGATCGAAAGTCACCAATTTACGTCACCAAACTTTTAGTTTCAGGGATTGCACTCTACAGACTAGTTTTTTTAAATTACATCAGTAACAAAACCCTGTAAATGCAAAGGAATAGTCCTTTGTCCATAAACTCACAACTGTTGCTTAGCTGGATTCATTCCAATATGCTGCTACTTCAAATTTACGGAAAACAAGAGTAGCATTCAGCAAGTGAGCAACTCCAACACCATCATACAACTACAATCATCAGATCGAAAGTGAATTAAAATAGGGAAAAAAAAAGTGACAAGGGGTGAAGTCAATCATAACCAATAGATAATGTGACGAGGTACTCACATCCTTCCTCATCTGATTGAGTCCTCCATAGCAATCCACTCGAATATACCTATTACTCTTGGCTGGAAGAGCTGCAGCATTTCAGCAACAAAAACCAAATGCAAATGTCTGCATTGGAACCAGTCAAAATTGACTTAGGCCCTGTTTGATAGGCGTTATTTTCCAGGGAACTATAAAAACATTTTCCACTTTCCACTTTTTTGGCCGTTTGATAAGCAAAATTTTCCACGGAAAATATTTTCTGGGTTTCGCCCACACGTGTGCATTTTCCGGGTTTTTGAGGAAAATTTTCCAGGCTGGCTGCAAATTTTTTTTTTTTTTTTGGCAATGGAAACAAATGTCATAACCAATGGTAAAAAAAAATTTCACTTTAATGGACAATTTCCTTGTAAAACAAAGTCAAACGAACACTAAACTTTGATAAAAAATAATTTTTTGGAAACAATTTTTTTCCCCTTTTTTTTACTTTTTGGCAATTGAAACAAATTTTATAACCAATTGTGAAAAAAATTATCACTTTAATAGACACCTTCCATGCAAAACAAAGTCAAACGAATAGAAAATTTAAAAATTTTCAGGGTGGAAAATTATACCAATCAAACACACTTAATTAACAATTCCCTACAAAATATTTTCTAAGCAAATATTTTCCCTCCAAATCATTTTCTTTCCACCCATTTTCCACCCTTACAATCAAGCGCACCCTTAGAGAGAAAAATCAAACCACCCCAAAACTGAAAACAAAAATATGCACACACCCCCACATTCTGAATTTGTTGCCTGGATTTAGGATAAAATAACTCAAGTAATCTCTGGTTTCGAAGTTACCTAAAGAAATGAATGGAAGTTAATCCTAACATGCAGCTAGGATAAGTACCCCGACATTCAGCTTCCAGTGGGCATGAACCCCATGCAGGCTGGCAAGCAAAGTACGACGGTGAGCCTCTCTCTCTCTATCTGTCTATTTTGATGTAAAGTTAAGGACTGAATTTCATTACATAAACCCACCCACCCTCCCACCCAAAATATTATTTTCCACCACTCTCCATAGAAGTCTAAATTTTACTATGTTTTCGCCTACTCAAGGTTTACATCATATTTTATTTTCCACGATTGCACTGCAGCTGTAAAGTATAATTGCATTTTCTGGCGAAAGAGAAAGTGATAGAGGCAAGGTTTTTTATTAACTGGAGTGGGAAAATTGAGAAGATGGATGACATGGGTGGTGATAAAGGGAAAATGATAGTTTGGTGGCAAAGATTGCGCTGGCTATTGCTAATGTTAGTGTTGCTGACTTCCTTCCCTTGATGGTTTGTCCATGCTGCAACAATGAAATTTTATTTCTAATGCAAAACTGGCAAGTCGTCGAGAAAATTGAACTGGCACAAGCCAAATAACTTGGAGACATGTTCAGCATTCGTTTGACATCAATGGTCTGAGAGATTTAACTGTCTTTAGTACTAGATCAATATCATGGTTGTGATGCTTGAAGATTGCAGAGGGTTTTGAATTGGTGACGTGGGTTCTTTCAGCTTTACCAGTACAAACCAAAAGAATAAACAGTCCTCAGCGCGAAAGGAGACATAGTACTCTATAAATGAAAACTTTTATTTCTACACATTGCGCAGAATTCAATGGAGCAAGAGAGATCGTAGATTGATGAAAAGCAGACAAATCAAGAGAGGCAAGATTCACACTTTCACAGGTTGTGTTTTCAATGGTTAACTGCGATAGGGAAATTTTCTCACTTTCGTATAAATTGGTGTGGATTGACATGTGTGGGGTTCGAAAAAATAATGTTTTGAATATTGATATTTTAAAAAACGTACCGTTAAAAAATAGAAAAATAAATTAACTTACGCACAAAATATTTTATTATGTGAATTGAAAATAAATATGAGAAATAGATTATTTTGTTTTAAGAGAAGTTGAACAGTAGGGCGTCCATGGGTGAAAAGCTGGACACTTGTTTCCCCCTATTCAAGCTCTAGATAGTAAGAAAATTTGAGTTGCGTTGGGTTCAAGTCCGTAAATATATGACATATCAGATAGAGACAGTGATTTTTCAATTAAATTTAGAGTCTGTTTGCTGTACATTAAAATGAGAGAATGCATTTTTTTTAAGTGATATGATNGTATTTTTATTATTGATGTGATGTGGAATATGTAGTTGAAAATGAATGAAAAGTTATTGATGTGATGGAAAATATTATTTTATTGAAGAATGTGTGGTTGAAAATGAGTAGAAGAATGAGAATGAAAAAAATAATGTGGGCCAAACAGGGAATTAAACTCATCACAAGAATAACTATTATTATTTTCAGAAGATCGAGCCAGCAAAATTTGAGCTTGAAAATACAAGACACGGTCACTGATATTCAAACAATCGTCATGACGAAACATACTTATTAACGTGGAGTTTGTATCCACAATTGCGAAAAACATGAATAACAAGTGTCAATTATCCACCATTTAGATGAATTGAAAAGTCAGGGATGAAGCCTTATGTGGAGTAACGACGGATCATGTTCTATATTTGAGTTGCTTTGGCTGGGTCATTACAATACTAGTAGAACAAGACATATCATGTGTAGAATAGGGGGTGCTCTACTGAGAATCTTTTGGGACATGTTGGTCCTCAAGATGCTTAGTGCGATCGAAATTGATGTGAACTCAGTGTCTTACGAATGGTACCAATCAAAGATAAAATAAGAGCACGAAGTCAGTGATTAGAATAGGTCTTTGCATAGACCTAAAGAAGTTCTAGGTTACAAGAGCGATGTGATCTCAATAAAATGTGTCAAAAGATTAGATGCCAAGGATTTGCATTGGACTTTGCATATATGTGGTGATGAGCCGAACACAATGATAGAAAAATATTATTTGGAGACAAAGTTTGTCTACTCATGGAGGCAGCTTCACGCATTGGCACAAAATATGCATTTCCTCATCGCAAATCTCAAGGTTGTTCATGTCCTAAACCTGCAAAGCATGTATTGCAGAGACACACACAAGGCAGAAAGGGATGAGAATAACTAACTTTGTACAAATCATATTCTGCATGGAATGTAGGATACACTTTTGACATACTTTGCACTTCTAAATTTGATAGGATGGGACAAAACTAAGAAGAAATGTGCGATATGCTAGTTCTTTGTCTAGTGGAGTACAATATACCAAACATGTTGTTTGATGCTTCCCAGAAGGTGCCTACACTGAAGGAGTTGTAATAGAAACTTGAGAATACGTAAAGACAAAGCACTAAGGAATTTCAATTTAACAATGGGTTACATGAAGTACAGTCAATCATGAAGGTTTTGAGAAATATAAACTTAACCACCCCATGAAGTTATCATCATATCCTCCATCACGGAAAGATGTTAAAGAAACTCTAAAACACGATAGAGAAGATATCTCTTGAGGACTAGGAAATCGTCTTTGAATAGAGTAGGATTGTGTAAGCAAGAGAGAATAAATTGGAGGAGAACAAAAAGAAAAACGTTCAAGTTCAGAAGGTCCATGTTGAGGAGAAAAATCAGGAAGAAACATTTTGTCAATGTCAATAGCCAAGACTTCTAGAAAAGAAGGCTCCATCTGTGTTATCTTCTCTACTATAAAAACTAAAGTTACGAAAAAAGCTAGAATTTATACATCCAAAGTCAGTGAGTATTTCATCAAATGTTAAATGAAGTTGTAGACATCGCAAACATAATGATCTAAATCATTTTCTAAGTCAACAAGGATCAATCGAGTGACTTATAAAATTTTGTGATGGAACCTAAACTACAGTCCTCATTCTATATTTCATTAAGCAGTTGTCAATGTTCATGACATTAGAAAAAGGTAAATGCTGGTAATAAATAAAAGATAACAAGAAATTGTACTCACATACCATCTCATCTGATAGAGCCCACAATAGTAACTCACTTGAATGCAGGCTGCAGCTTGTCAACACAATCAAGAAAACAAATTCAAAACACCTGCACTGGAAAGTAAACAAAGGAAGAGAAATTAACTTAGTATATAACTAATATTATGTATAAGACAATTAGAAAATCATTCAAATATTTTGGCTTCGTTGAATCCTGAATTTCAGCGTGGAAAGGGACAGGAACGATAAACCAGAGAAACTAACTTTCAGCGCTTCTTTTCTCCCACAAACAGAAATGGAATTTAGATATTCTTCAAATAAGTCAAAAATTGTGAAAAACAAAAGGAAAACAATATGCAAATTCAAAATTTATCCCTTAGTTATGATTGTATACAAAGGGGAAGGATTTTCCATCTTTTTTGTCGGTGATATCCAAGATTTGAACAGGATTTACATAATGGAAATTCAACATCGTTCTTGTTTTGGGACTTATTATCATAGTACACTCTTTAATTCTATCGAGTTTAGTATCACTATCTCCCTAAAAAGAAATAATAACAAATACTTTTGCTTGATCCCAAATTGAAAAAGTAATTATAATCCTAAGACATTAATTAGGAAGGCTTGTTTAATACAATATTTTAAACGAAAATAGAGAAAAGCAATCACTTGATTTCCCTTGAGGACACCTATAGCAAGGTTTCCCTTCAATAATCCTGCTAAGTCTCCACATCTCTGGCCTCAGTCTTTGTGCATCAGAACACTCCCGAACACAGATTGGTACCACCGTAAATACCATGCAGGACAGTCTCCATCCATTCACAATGTGGTTTTCCATATTGTGCTCAAAGAACTCTCTCACTCAACGTTTTTGTCAGAATATTAATCACTTTCTTCAGACCATTCCTCTTCAGTTTTCACCCTTACATGCGCCCTGTTACCTCTCATGATGGTTGATAGCTCTTGTATTGAACAAGAAGTGCTTCTTTCCATCTTTTCTGCTAATATATCTGTAATCTCGGCCAATCCTATCCCTACAAGTTTGTTCCTCAACAACTCACATGTTGTAGTGTATGGTGGTATCCCTTCGTCAATCATCATTTCAAAGTATTTACACGCTTCTTCAAGTTTCCCTTTCTTCTTCCAAAGACCATGAATCATGACAGCATATGTCGAAACTGAAGGATAAAATCCCCTATCTTCCATGTAACCCCAAACTTTCTCAACTCTATCAAACCTTCCTATTCTAATGAGCATTTTAAGCACCATATTATACGTATGCCTATCGGGTAGGCAAGCATATTTATCCATTATTGAAATTAGCCTTAGTGCCTTATTAACTTCATTATGATCACAATGAAAAGCCAAAATAGTATTATAACTCCAAGTATCAGGGCTAACCCGTCTCTCAATCATCTCATCTAGAAGCTCATAAGCTTCATCCACCTTATCATTCATACAAAGCTTCTTGATAACACAATTGTAAGTAAACACATTAGGCACAAGATCATACTTTCTCATAGAATCGAGGACCCTAAAAGCTGAATGAAGATCATTCGCTTCACAAGAAGCACGAATAAATATTGAATATGTATATGCATCCGGTTCTAGCCCCTTATGCCTCATCCCTCGGAACAATTCATAAGCCTCATTTACCTTCTGTCCCTTACACAAAGAGTCCAACATACTATTCCAAGCAAGCAAATCCACACCACACCCACTCTCAAGCATTTCATCGAATAGTCTATGAGCGTTACTTGAGTCTCCAATCTCACCCCAACCCCTGATCAAAATGCTATAAGTTTTCACAGTTGGGGTAAAATCGCCTTTAACTCTGTCGAAAAAATCCTGGGCATGCTTCACATGCTTCTTTTTGCACAGTATAAACAAAAGCTGATCCAGATCATCTACGCAAGGCCTAATTCCAAAATCAGACATCTTATTGAAAGCCCTTATAGCATCAGCAGGCAAATTAGCTCTACAATAAGCCCTAAAAACAACCCAGAAAATTTCTTGGCTAATATCAAAAGATTCAGCCCTTTTCATCTCTACTAAAAAATCCCAAAGCAATGGGAATTGTCTGCTGCTTCCCAAGATATCTACAAGAATATGATGAGCTTCTCTATTATGCTCAAACCCCGGAATTTTCTGAGCCCAAAGGAAGAATCTTTGAGCAGAAAATCCTAGATTTTTACATCTCTTCAATACTTGTTCGACCAAATTTGCATTGATTTCCGAAACAAATGGGGTAAGAGCTGAATCAAGGTCGTGGCCGGGGCTTCTGTAGTCGCTAAGAACGCGGGAAAGCTCATTGACAAGGTTCTGTGAAGAAGAATCTGTTAAGGATTGTTGAGGTTCAATTGAATGTGATTGAGATGAAAATGGTATGGAATTTGGGCGGTGAAATACGGGGAGATTGAGAAAACTGCGGGTGGTTCGGGAATTACTGTAGGGTTGAAGTTGAAAGAGGAGATAGTGGAGGAACGATGGGAAGAAATTATAGGTGGGCCTGGCCCGAGTTGAGAGTGATATAATCGCCATTGTTGCAGAACAGTTGAGGTGAGCACACAGCGGCTTAAGAGCAAATAGTTTAGACTTCAAGGGGGTGAAGAAGTGCAGTGCTGGACTAGTACGAGGAGTCTGTGATTTGTCCGATGATTTGTCGTATTTTTCCTTTAAATAAGTACTTATAATTGAATTATACTTAACCAAAAAAAAAAGGGAAGTGTTTATAAATTATTTAAATCATAAATAAATAAATAAAAATTTTGTATAAGTAGATATTAGCTGTTGATCGTTGAGTAAATTTAATCAACCATCATTGAACTTTACAATTGTTACTACTTATTCATTCATCTTTAACGGGTTACCAAATAATCAGTCATCTTTACATATAATTATCCATCCATCACTCATTTAACTCACGTCTCTCAAAATAAACGGAAAATTACACGTAGATAACGAAAATCAAACGTGGCACACCTTCTAGATGATCTGGAATTAAACCCCATGACATTAAAACCACGCCTCATACCTATTTCACGACATTTCTACACTGGAAGGCAAAATTAAGAAATATTTAGGACTGATTTTTCAAATTTCTCGCTGATTTTTCAAAATTCTCCCTCAAATCAACGTAATAGGCTTGGGATTTCTTCTATTGTCTGGATAATGGAGGGCATAGGTGACAGGGTAAAGCACAAAAGAGTGGTCAGAGGTTCGGTTTCTTTTGCACATCCAAGGACAAGGAAGAGTGGAGCAACTCAGTAGACTTTATTTTTTATAAGCAACCTATGTTCTAAATGGCCTAGGTTTAGGGTAGTCAGTGAACTATTTTTTGAATGTATTTTGTTGTAGTTTACGCAGTAGAATGTTCAGAATGTTTTTGAACTGAAATTAGGCATCATAGATAAATGTTTTTGAACCAGTGGTTTTATTCCAACAGATTGAATGGTTTTCGGATGAATGTTGTTTCAATGAATGGTTATTTTCCAGTAAGTTTATACTAGTCATATATTTTTTTTTGAATTCTCAGCAGTTAATAAATCATCAGCTTATGATGCATCAGGTACATTAGTCATATCACTACTATATTAAAAAAGAGGATGGCCAAATCACTAGGAAAAAAAAATCGAAGTGTGGAGCACACTCCGCATCATTTTTATTTTTTTTTCCACTTTTTTAGAGATTTCGATTTGGGGGTTCTAATTTAAGGATTTTGATTTAGGGATTTCGATTTGGGAGTTTTAGTTTAGGGATTTTGATTTGGGTTAATAATATAAAGGCGTGTTTGTTTGGTTCTTTTCAGTGACTTGAACATAATTAATGCCATCAATACACCACGTAGATTTTCTGTTATCCACATGTAGTTTTCCGTTTATGTGGAGAGACGGGTGTTAAAAGAGTGGTGGATGGGTAACCATATGAAAAGATGGATGAGTATTGAATAACTTTTTAAAGTACAGTGAGTAACCATTTTAAAGTTAAGTGATGATTCATTAAATTTATTCGTTGATCGTTCACGATGTGTGAATTAAAAGTTAATTAAGTGTTTGTAAATACACAAGTTAGAACGAAATAGAAGTTGGTTAAAATATTATATTATGGAAGAAAGATAATAAATATGTTTTACGTAATAAAAGTAATCAAATTACATTTCTATTTCAAAATTCAATAACATTATTATGTTTTAAAATACTAAATATTAGTAACTCGTAACAACTACGTGCAAGTAAAACCTACTTGTAAAAAAGGATGATACAAGTATAAACTCACAAATTAAACCTTAACTACAATTGAAGACATTGCATTCAACTCGAACTCATATCCCCAACTAGGTGACTTCACAAAAACAATTTTATATGAAAGTAGCTTTCTCAAGTCGTCCCGAAAAGAGTTATCCCCAAAGAGTATATTCCTTGATACCAATTATAAGAACTATATTGAGTAAAACTCAATTTAAAAAACATGTTGTAAGAAGGCGTCCAATTGGTTGTAAACACAAACTAAAGCATGTGTGAAAATCGGCATAAGTTACATATAGCCCCTGTTTGTTTTCCATAAAAATGCAATTTTGTATCGTGGCAACAGTTCATCAGCCGCAATTTTGGACAATTTTGTCTGTGTGGAACCCACCTCTTTTGATAAAAAAAAAAAAGGGGGTCAAAAAATGCATTTTCTTGTTAAGATAATGGGAAACAAACAGGGGCATAGGCCCGGTTTGGTAAAATCGACAATTAATTTTAAGAAAATAATTGTTATAAATCACCATTTATAAATTATTTTGCAAATTGATAAGATGACAAAAAAGAAGGTGGTAAGATTTTCACTTAATCAAATCTCTTCACATCATTTTTTGATAAACAAATTTATAAATTGTCTGTATACGTAGCACAATCGTTTATTTTAACCACATATTTCATGACACTCACAACTTTTCAATCACACATTCTACTAATTATTTTTCAAAATCTACTAAATATTTTATTTTAATCCTCGTTAATCAAGGAAGAGAGAAATGGTGGATGAATGATTAATACATGTGAGTTCCATGAAATATATGAATAAAATTCTGTAAATACAGATTCTTGGGGACTCTTTAAGCCTTACTCATATGTTAATACTTCTTTCCATTCAGGTTTATGTTTAGGACAATTCTACATTCAGGACTTCACGCCACACTCTTCAAAACCTGTTTGTATAGTTGGACCAAAAGAATTTTACAGCTACATGTTTACCAAAGAATATGGCGCGCTGTTTAACATGTCTGAAACAGAATATGTTCGAGTTAAATAATAAACAAATAACATGAAACAAAAGAGAAATATGTCATAGCTGTAAAATCTTCGACATTTTGGTTACAAAAACAGAGCCATAAAACTATAGAGACTGCCTTGACACCAATTCGGAAGCCTGAAAAAGATAACATTTCTCCTCAGTTCTGCTCCTCACCATTACCCATTTCTCTGGCCTCTTGTGCGGCAGCCATTAATTCATCAAAATTTGCTGTTTTTCCAAGCACTACTTCGATCTGTGAAATAGAAGGACGCAACAGACGTTAAATAAAAAAAAAAAAAAACCATTCAGACAGCATGCAGGTGAAAACCAGAAATATAAACTCGAAAGATCCAAGGATGATAGAGGGCAGTTTTCAACCAGATAAATGAAAGAATCCACTACAGTCCTATTCTGATGGAGATCCCAAGGTAAGAACTGAATTTTCTTACGAAATATTGATCAAATTCTTTACGCATTATGATGCTGTGGTTTTGTTTGTTTATAGCTTTCCAATTTATAACCAGTACGTTATTATGCTCAGTATCTTATGCCGACTCCTGACCTATATTAAGCTATTTAATCAACCTCTTCCAAATTGTTATTGTGTATGTGCCTATGTGGTATGCTCTAGGTTAGCATGGATAGTTGATACGGAAGTTTGAATTCGATATCTAGGCTTTTCGTCTCAATTCATATGTACCAACTGAACCAAGAGTTGTGAATATCCACACACTTCAAAAGTAGGGGTGCTACAATTCAATCAACTTGCTAATAGGCTGCTGTTATCTTACTATATAATATCACCCTTGAAGGCAGACACATTTTTTCCCATTAGCATTTTCAAGTCCTACTTGTGTAGGTTCAACGTTATGCAAAAGGAGCCAAAAATGAAACTTCCATTTGTAGAGATGAAGCTGGAATGATAAGGATACCAAAAAATGGAGAAGAGAAGTATAACTAAAGCAGACTCTGTAATAGGATAAGTTCTCAGAGAAACTACACCTCATAGCAATCTCCGGAAAATATTATCAGACCAGACCATTCAGAAGAATAGTTAATTTTTATATTTTTTCCCATCTCTAAGTCACTTTTTCTGTCACGTTCTTGCAGATATAATTATACTGTGATTATGCTAGCAAGTAGCAAGTTAACTATGCTTCTGCAGATATATTTGGTTTATGATATTATTAACATTCAATTTTGAGATTTGCTTTATATAGAAGTTCCCTGGTTTCTATGGTAAGGATCTTCTGGATGAGCCCAGGCTAGCCCCACAACAATCTTCCGGTGTTAGAATAAAAACCATGAGGAATAGTTGATGAAACATGAAGGTGTAAGTGTGAGATTATACTACTGCATTTGACGCAAGTAGAAGATTACAAAGTCCAAGGAATTCATTGTGCTCACATTTAGTAACAGGGCCCATTTAATTAGTTTAATTTTTCCTTGAATTCTTAATATATTATTGGTCATTTTAGGCAATGACAATTTATCCTTTTCATTTGGGCTGCATAAATATAATGTAACATTGGGCCGTATTTGTTAAGGAACAAAGTCACTAACAATTTCATTCACATGATATATGCATCAGAATTATGTAAGTGAACAAGTACATAATTTCATGTTTTAGATTATAGTTGATTTGGAGCTAATAAAAATGTCTTTGTAAGTATATCCCATTCAAACTCACAGGCAAAGGATTGATGCTAAATAACTAATTTTGAGTATAGAAAATTTTATTATCACTTTTGCTACTAGACAGTTTATTTTCCAGAATCAGCACCAAAAAAGGCAACAGTTTATTCCATGAACTCTTATTTCTTAATTTTAGCTTTAATGGGTATGTTAACATGACCAAACTCAAAATATTCGAAGCTGAGAAGCAAATCTGGTCTGGAAAAGACAGGTTACATAGCTTACAATGAAATGACCACCGGAACCTCCAAAGGAGAAATAGAAAACAAAGTTTGGAGGAAAGTAGGACTACACTCTGAGTTCCACGGTGTATGTACTGTGTCAATCCCTACCCTACGACACCAAATAACTAGGGCCTAGCTTCTAAACAGCCCACGCGCATCTGAAACCCAGTGGCAATGTCATAAACTTAATGAACTGTAATGGACTGCAAATAAAGAAAACCTCATGACAAAGCAATCGCTAGTTGAATAATTGTTCTATATATTGACTATCTAACAGAAGGGTCACATGCCACGCTGCAGGTGAATGTCAAATCAATTAGATAAAATTCTTCTGTGCACGGTAGA